TGTGTGTGTGTGTGTGTGTGTGTGTGTGTGTGTGTGTGTGTGTGTGTTTGTGTTTGTGTGTGTTTGTGCGGCGCGAGTATAATACGTGGCACGTGCTAAATTTTCAATACGTTTGACCATGGTTTATGCAAATTAGAGCACTTAAACTAGACGTGCACACGTGTAAAACACTACCTGTAATGATAATGTCACGAAATCCTTTCGATTTCGATACACTATGAATATTATATTTATCGAAAATTTGTTTTTTCATTTTTGCACAAGCGTTTATTTAAAGTCTTATGTATCGCATCTATGAATTCTTAGTACGAGGAAATTGAAGAAACAATTATTATTAACCGCCAGACTATAAAACGATAAATCAAATCAGAAATCCGCGATTAAACCACAGTTGATTTTATGAGGATTTAACGAGAAAAATTAAGTTGAATTTTAAAATAGTCCAGGAGGAAAATAATTATTATAGGTAATTGCAAACATTATTGATTAATGCTGAATAATTATTTGTGTACTCAATAATTCACGTTAAATGATTTGCACAGCAATATTAATTAAAAATTGAAAATGAAGTATATTTCATTATCTGTAACATACATAATATTAAATATGATATATGTAAAATAATTATTCTTTTCACCGATTTACCAAGGATTGAGTTTTTTTTTCTAAAAAGTCATCAAGGTTAATATATTTATATATTGTTTCAAAAGTTCAAAAGTTGTGTTTAATTATTGAATAAAAGGGTTAAAATATCATTAATACTGACATGTAAAAATATATGAAATCTGATCAAAATAAACGAGATCATTGTAATTAATAAGATTATTAAAATCAAATATACGTACTAGTGCAATATAATTGAAAAATAAATTACTGTTTTTAATTTATATTTTATTACGTATGCCAAATTCTAATGCTATCATTATAAACCCTAGAAAACGATAGTTAATTATATTAAAAAGACACAATGTATTCTTACGTTTTTTAAATTTATTTAAATGTGTACGAATGTTGAAGAAAAAATATTATATTCATTAGGGTAATATAGCAAGATAACATGTATAGAAAACCATATATATCAAATATCGATTTATATTTTAGAATAAACAGACGGATTATAAAAAAAATTTCACATTGTCTTACATTTTGGTATATTATATTAATGAGTAAGTTATTTAGTCCTAAGTAATTTTTACCTATTATATTAATTTTATTTTTATCAGGTTTAACGATCAGCATTATTCCATTGTTCGAACGAATACAGGTAATAAAACATAGTTAATCATTTGATCTTTGAGGTTCATAACTTACAAATATCATGTAAATCATACTCGTAAATTTTAACCCATAGTGCTTAGTACAGTATACATCGAATATTTACATATTAATAAAACTTGTAATTTATTATACACATATATATACATAAATGTATATAATATGTATATTACGCATTTGGATGCGTAATATTAGCTTACAGTGGTTTTCTGAGTCGTGTAAATGAAAAATATACATTTTATTATTTAAATTAAATGTTAATACTTTTATAATTACCTAGGAATTTCTTATGGTCGAAATCTTCGTATTTGGAGATATCAGCAGTCTCGTTGAAAGACCAGTATGGACTAACTTCATCCTTGTTGATTTCAGCAGGTACTATCGATTTAGCATCTGTTAATAAAATATAAAAAAAAAAAACTGGTTACATTTTTCAACGTATGTACATAAGAAAACGCTAATGTGTATAAATATAAAGTACTATATTTAGGAGTGAGTGATCCAGCTTTGAGTTGAATATGTACAAATAAATCTCACTTTGTACAACTACTTACAAGATTCATTTTATTCTATTAAACTTACGTTCAAATAATTCTTAGCTGAGATTGGAAATCTATAAGTACTTATTCAGACATTTTCAGGAAAATAATGTCTAGTATCATCTATTCATAATAGAAATTTGTTAATAAAACAAAAATTTACTTTATTTTTTGTAGTATTTTCTAAATTATATTATTACTCAAAATATTTAAAAACTAAACAAAATGTGTAAAGATTTAAAACTGTACCTGCTTGTTTCTTAATAATGTAAGTATATAATATTCTATATTATAAACCATACATATATATTTATCAATGCTAACACATAACAATGATTTTGTTATAGTATAAATCTTAAATCAATTTTAGTCGAATTTATTAAATGAGAATTAAGTTTATCGTCAAAATGAATTGATTTATATTATAATTCTAGACTGATGTCAGACCTGAATATGTTATATTTTGTAAAATGTAATTTACTATACTAGATTTATATATAAATATTCAAGTATTTAAAATTTATAAAAGGGAAAAATAACTTGTTTACAGCCTATTATTAATACTATTTAAAACGAATAAATTAGAAACATTTTTTTTATTTTTTTTTTTTTGCTATCGTTTATACATCAGTGTTCCTTAAACTGTATTTCACGAAGATGACTTAAGGGTTCCACGAAACTCTAGGTGGGAGAAAAATTCGATGCGAGACATGACTTTTTTTTTTTTTTTAGAAAAATAGAAATATTTACAATTTGTATAAAATGATATAATAAGCAAATTGGATACCATGTTTAGTAGACTTGATGATATGAATGAAATAAATATATACCTAGTCAATAGTTTTTTGTACTTATACAAAGACAAGACAAGTTGAAAAACAAACATCGATAAAGAAAAATTAATAAGTGCCAACGTATTAAAACGGATAAAATAACGGTTTGGTTTCAATACGACCATCGAACATGCCTTGCGATACTGTGCGTTTTGTTCCATTGACACGACGCTGTGCAGTGAAGTGCGAATGCGAAATATTAAGTGTAAGTTTCATTGAAAGACCTACTTCCTTTTTTCTTCAGCGTATTTAAATGGATTCTCAGCAGTCACTGCAACAATGACTGAATATCGAAATAGATTGCATTTTACGCCGATACTACAACTTTCATTTACAAATTTTACTCCAGATTTTATAGTATTTGTAATCACATTCAAGCTCATCCATCACATTAAGAATCGTGCATAAATTTTATTATTATTATTCCTGTTATTAAAATCAGATATAATGTTTCTTCTTGCATGCTATGATCGCTTCTAAATAAATAATTTAGTTACATTTTGCTGTATTTAATATTTTAGTGTATTGTTAAAGTTCCCATTTATCGTCAAGTTTTGTGTACAATACTATTTAGATAAAAATGTTCTTAGAGGTTTCACATAAAATAATGTTATTTTTTTTTTGTGTTCCGTGTTTTCAAAAAGTTTAAGATATACTCCAGCAAATCTGTATATAATTTCGGAGCAAAATGTATTGTAATATTACATTAAACAAGTTAATTTATAATTGTTATCAATACATTGCACTTAAATTAACTCATACATTAACTGAAAAAATGTTTGAAAATAATTTGCATAAACAACCGTTCACCAGATTAGTTCCAAATTATTATGTAACACCTAAATTAGACATAATCGAAGATTAAATAATGCTTTACCCGATCCAATTTTAATATTAATAAATCATTTTAAGATGGTATTTATTTAAAAGTCAAAATATTGGTACCTTGTGAACAAAACTGAACTATAAACATTCGAGTTCATTAAAACAAAGCTGTTTAGTAAACAGTATATAGTTCTGAGTAGATACGTAAATAATTATTTTTATTCTTATAGTGGTTTTAAACGCCAGAATATCGAAATACAAAACAATAATTAGGTTTAACTAGGTTTATATTTATTAAAAATAACCGATTGTTTAATCGTATAAATAAAAACTATTTTATTTATTTTAAATTTATTTTATTTAAAATATTTAAAATAAATTTTATTTAAAATAAAATATTTATATAATATTTTTGGGTTTCTCTAGAATAAATATTAATTTAAAATTTACTAATCTAATCCTTTTGTTAATTTCTTCTTTTAAAGTTTCATATTAGTCCGGCCAATTGTTGAACATAGTGCCATAGTATGGGGTACCCATACCACTGGTAATGTAAGCCGGGTTGAAAAGATAAATTGTAGGTTCTTGAGATTCATCAGCTACTTTTTGGGCATTAATTATGCAACTCATTACTACACTCCAGTTACCAATACATTTGGTATAGCTCCATTGGCGAAACGAAGGCACATTATGGGTGATAACTTCTTAAGATAATCGTTAGCTAGTAGAGTATATTCCCCGTCCTTACTCTCCTACCTATATACATTTTAGAGCTGCAAGTTCCACAACGTAACTTTCCCTGCATTGCGACCTTCCTTTCATCTATGTGAAACTTGTCAAATGAGCATATAAAACGTATGATGTCTACTCCATTTACTACTTACTACGTCCATGTCAAAATATTAAAATTCAAATAAAAAACCGATTATAATTTATTCATACAATGCAAGTTTTATTTAAAACTAATTGAAATTGTAGTATAATATCCATAAATCAACTTTCTTGAAAAAGTAATAGGTTGGAATAATTCTTTATGAAAATGATTAAATTAATTGTTAAAAAAAAATATTGAAACAAATTATTGTATGTCAACACTAAAACTAGATATTCGGTGCAGACAGTTTAAGGATAAATAAAAAAAAAAAAAAAAATTAATAAATACAAAATTACGAACAAATTAAATGTCTAAGTATCAGACTACAAAATGTTCACCGAATCTTTAAATATGATTCATTTTTGTAATTTGAAACCGATGAATTTTAAATTTAAAATGTCTTTATTTATTAATTTAAAATCCAAAATTTTCAAAATATTTTTTTGATGACAAAAAAGTCACAAAAAAGTTTTATAGTTGAAATAAAATGAAATGTTGAACAACTTAAATATTTTAAAGAATTTCAATTGAATGATATTAATAATTAAGTTTATATTCTATAAATATATTATCATTTAATAATTTTCTGTGATGGACTTTGAAGTTCATATACATTCTCAATTTTTGTTCATAAAATATATATATATATATATTTATCAATATTTCGTAAATTACATATATATTTTTTTACTTCAAACAATGCAAATATAAGACACAAATTGAATGTCAATATATTTATCTATTAGTACTCGTAGACTGATAAAAAATATAAATTACAATAATACTTATTCAAACATAAAACTTTTATAAATATACGTAATTTTATTGTTAATTTGTATTTTACGAGTATATTATATTTTATTTTTTTAATAAAAAAATGTTTTTGATTTAATAAGTTATATTTTAATTTATTAAACTTCATTATAATTTGGTGGTAGTTATTTTAATTAATTAATATATTTTTTTTTTTAATAAGAAATTAAAGTGCACCATAATTTTCAGTAGATATGTTACAACAAAATATTGGTAACTGAGATTTCACTGCATTACAATTATTGTGAAAACTAAAAATAAATATACATTTAAATACTTATTACAGTTTTTGTGTTTTAATATCAAACTTCTTTGTAAAAGAAATGGAATTTTTTTTTGTATGTGTTTATAAAGGATTAAGATAATCATACTTGTAACGTTCGCACACTTATACAAAAAATGAATATTATTCCAAATGTAAATATTTTACTAAGAATTAATTATCAGAGTATAACAATTTGAACCCTTTTTTCTAGAGAAAAAATATAGAAAAAATAATGTATATTTTTATGTTCATCATAATTCAGCAAAATTATAATTATTAGTTACACGAAGTTATTCATTTGATGATAGTCACTTAGCATATGTAAATTATGTATACATGTACATCTACTTGGAGAAGTTTTGGGGGCGAGGAATGAGGTAGTCATGGCCTTTTTTTCTTCAAATTGTTGTTATTTATTATTGATATCACAACAGGAAAACATATAAATTTGATTCACATTATGTGAATACAAGTAAAGAATTTACCCACCCCCCCAAACAATGTATAAAAGGTTCTAAGAACATGATTAAATATTCAATCCTATGTGTATGTATATATAAATACATAAATTTATATGTTTTCCTATTGTGATGTCAATAATAAATAACAACAATTTGAAGAAAAAAAAAGGCCATGACTGCCCCATTTTCACCCACCACAAAACTTCTCCGGGTAGATGTACATGTATATATAATATGTATATTATACATAGATAAAATTTATTAATAATAAGTTATTATATGAAGTTATACAAATTGTCAACCATCAATTCGAGAGTCCTATTAATAGTAATTTATTTTAATTTTATAATAAAATATTATAATATTATATTTTATATATTTACATTCAATTTATTAAATTTATTTTAAACATAAATATTTTTATTTTTTCATTTAATATTCTGAGTTAAACGAGAAATGTATTAGTTTTACCATAATGTACTCGAAATATTTTAATTACATTTCTGTTATTTATGGGGCACTCGTAGAAATATTTGATACTATCAAATTCTAGATGTTTTTTTTTTTTTTTTTTATTACTGCTAAAGTAAGAATTAAAAGTTTGATATGTCTTAGTATGAAATTTAGTACAAATAATATAAAAATAATCTATAAAATTATATAAATTAACCCATTCGAACTATTTCACTCAGAATACTTTTTGAATTAACCGTTTCAAGTTTAAACGGCCAATACAACAATTTAATTCACCTTAGTTTATTTCTCACCCAGCCTAGGGTTTTT